AAAACACTGATGGCTTCTGTGTCTTGCTGAGACCACAGGCACTTCCACATCACCACATCATGACTGTGCTATGGTTATTAGCAATCTAAAATTAAAATACTTACTCTGAAAAGGGATCATTTTGCTGTTTCATGCTGTCAAATTAACCTGTAGGTGGGCAATGATATTTCACTGGGGGCTGAAGGTGAATGAAAATGGGATTAAGCTGAATGCTAAATTCAGCAGTATCAGAGGAAACCAGGGTCTCTGGAACCAAAACAGATGATTCTTGCAATGACTAAGTATTGGATTAGCAGCCTGAATGCTTCACCAATTTCATCTTTTTTTCCAATATTATATAAGGAAAGTCTCCCTGCTCAGTTCCTGCCAGTCAAATAGCCAGTTAAATGAGTAATCAACTCCAGACCAGGCTGGTGGTATATAGATGGCAATGCAATCACCCTGTTAATACGGCATGCAGATTTCAAGGGACAAAACACTAATTTAAAGTATCCTGCTTTCTCTTTAGCAGAAGGCTACCTAGCTTGCAGTATATGGGGCATCATCCAATTTTGACTTTCTGTTGCAGTGATAGGAGGGCAATCTGCCACTGCCACTTCTACTAACCTATCTCCAAATCAGAAATGAATTAACCACAGAGATGCAAGGATAGAGTTAGCAGAACCTTCACTAGTCATTTCAGTGAGATTAATTGTCAGGGTATTTTAAAACCCATTTTGACAGCAAGACAAGTTGAAACAAGGGACTGTCCTGGCTCTGTTTTCTCTGTGCTTGTAAATGTGTCAGATACTATGTTCCACAGGGAGGAGGGAGACAGCGGAGAAGAAAAGTTGGTCCTTCCCCAAGCACATCAGGGTGGTGTATGGAAACCTTTACTCAGACTCAGGATGAATAGAATGGAAGCCATGAAAGCTATAAGCAGACACATCCCAGCAAATTACTGTCTTACTGCAAGACAGCCACCCCTGGAGAGCACAGGAACAAGAAGATATGTCTGCTGATACCTGGGCACAGCTCATTCACCTGGCAGCAGAATATGTTTCAGGCTCTTAACAGCAGGAATGCAATGACTCCCATTTTTGCCAGGTAATGGCTTCCTAGTAGGGAAAAAAAAGAGGGGTTGTTTCTTGTTATTTTTAAATGCACTTCACTTTTTAAACTTTTTTTAGTGAAACTGTTTTCTAGAGGAACATGGGAGATGCCTTACAAGAAAAGAGCTGTTTGCAGGATCATTGCTCCGCTGTTCCCCACCAGAGCTGTTTGCATAGAAGAGTGGCTGTGAACACTTTTACATGAGCAAGCTGTATATTTCTATCACACTTTGCCAGACTAGAACTCAATCTGAGTACACTGTCAAAGGAGGGCTGATGGCAGGCAAGTAATTCATTCCCTATTCCAGGCTGTTAGCTTCCAACAAGCCCATTTCACGGGACAGTTAACAGATCCTCTCACGATAAGGATGACTGCTGAAAGCACTTAGGCTGATGTTGCTTTAATACGAAATCTATATTGAGGTGTTTGACACAAGTAGTGCCCTACAAAGTAGCTTACAAAGGCTGGTGGAGTGGAACAAGACATGAAACCTAATAACATTCCTCTTGTTTCTGAAATGCCAATGAAATCTCTTGATGCAGTATTTCTAAATAGAATGCTTTCACACAGCATTTTAGTTACAGCAAATGTAACTGTGCTTGTAGATTAATTTGCTAGGTAAAGATTTCACTTTGAAAGTATACTTTCAATTCTTGAAGCCCTTGCACACCTAACATATCCTTAGTAATATTTATGTCTTGTAACATTATTTCATTTTATTTCCTGGAGGGAAAACCACCGGAAAAATGGTTTATTGCATATGTCCCAATTTTATGTGGTATGTAGTTGTTTATATAATAAATATTTATAATGTAGGGCAGTAAAATATTGTACAAAGCTTCTACAGAGAAGATATTTTCAAGCATTAATTATAAAAGACAAAGAGTTCAAACAATTCTCCAGCAGAAATTTTTCCTCCTGTTTTCCAAAAGTGCTTTTGACTTGGGACAACCACATTTGAAATTGTCCTGGCTGTTTTCACAAGCATTTCTGGAAAATCTCCTCTTTCTCCTGCCCTGAGGGTCCTTTAAACTTCATTTCTGCTTGGATCCTTTGAATTCTTTTCCAGGTCAGTAGCTATCTAAACACAGCAGAACTCCCATGTTATGTGGTTGTCCTAATTATCAGAAGTCCTGAGTATTGCAATAGTTGATTCATGAAAAGATTCTTGAAAAGAATGAAGAAAAAAAAAATTAGTTCAATTGATTTGGTTGTAAGTTCTTTCTGTAGCCTTTATTTTCACAAAGATATACACACACATTCCCATGTCACTTGGTCAATAGAGAATGACTTGCTTGCTACTGTGCTGCTCACACTTTCACCCTCTACTTGCATTTGCAATTAAAAAGTATTAACTGAGCATATGGATTGCACTGAAGGTCAAGACCTGTTTTAAGTCATACCTAACAATTTTTTAGGCCAACCATTGAACAGTACCATCATTATGGTATCTGTATGCCAAGTGAAAACAGATATTGACTGCTTTCATCAATATTACCTTGTTCCATCAACTGTTTATAAACTGCACTTCCCTGTCACCATGGAAGAGGGACAGTGCAGAAACCCAAAGTGTCAGTGGTGGCTACCATGCTCTGGTTAAAGCTCATGGAGATAAGGACATCTCATCTCAAAATAATTATTTGGCAGTTTCCCTGAATTTTGAGAGACTGCTCAGAAAGTGGCTCAGCCAAATATTATTTGGGGTCTTTCAAGTACCCGGCAGTTTGTCCATGAACAAATTTTCAAATGTTCCTATATATCTGTGTTCATACCCCACTTAGTTTAGTGTTGAAATTGCATTCTCTCCACACTCCCCACCAAACACTGTGAATCGAGTAAAGAATAAGAGTTTTAAGTATCAGATCTGCAAATGCATCCTGGGATTTTGCAAAAGCCAAAAATCTAATTCTGGGAATGGTAATTAGTAGGGGGATACCTGTATTTGTCAGCCAAGAATCCACACTATTAACCTGTTTGCAATTGCACTTAACATGTTCATTGAACATACAAACATCAAATCCATAACATGCAATTCCCTGAGCAACTCCTGCTCATCCCAGTGCTGACCAGTAGGAAGGAGTGAACTCAGATCTGTTGTGCTGAGTTCTGACAACAATATCAAAGTGATTAAAAAAAAATTGGGAGAGGAAGAAAAAAAGAAGGTGTGTGTGGGAAAAATACTTACACAGTCCCAAAAGGGACACATGGTCATGACAGCTAGATGGTCTGTTATATGCAGGGAGGGAAAAGAAAAATCTTCATGCACACTGAGTACTTCTACCTTACACCATGGCCAAACCAAAACTGATGACAAATGTCAGCACTCACATGAGATATCGAGCAACAACTCCAAAATGCCCAGGAGGCCATGACTTTTTCCTCCTCCACCTCAGCTCAAATGTGCTTACATCCTCACTGGAATCCTAACAGGCAAGTGCCACACTGAAGTTCCACTGGAACAAAGGGAATGGTGCTGGAACACTTCTGAGCAGCTTCCAAGCCCTACATTAGTGAAACTATGAAGATATTCTTACATTCTAAAAAAGTTCATGGCCTCCGTTAAGTTGGAATACAGTTCTCTGTGGCCATCAGTCTGAACTTGTCACAGCTCTTTCATGGCAACTATAGGAACTGAATCACAAAGTGTCTGGGGGGAAGCAGAATCCCAAAAAAGCCAGTGAGTCATCCTACTGTGTCCCATTACTTCAGGGGGTGAGCACTATTCCCAGTACTCATGAAAGTGAGCAAGCCTGACTCGTCCACCTGACTTTTTCCAACACTAAACTCAGAAACCTGCATGGAATCTTACTCATGACAGTGGGCTTAGGCATTGGTAGACCTGTTACAGAAACTGTTGGAGTTTAAGAGCAGCAGTCATCAGAACTAAGTAGGCATGCAGTGAATTTATTGTTTAATAAATTTTTATGTTTCATGGTTAGCTTGGGAAGTCCCCACAGGAACCAAAGGGACCTTCTGCACCTACTTCAAGAGGCTTGATATTAACTTTGTTTTTAATAATTAAGTATCTAAATGAACAAAAGTAACAAGACAGCACTTTTGTGTTTCAGGAGCAGCAGTTGACACAGTAATGGTTTCATCTAAGGTGCTGTATTTCTTCAGAATACATCCAGCTGTCAGACTCTGAAGAAATGAAGAAAAACTAAAGAAGGAGAAAAAAAATTACATTTTCTGTAAATAGTATAGAGTTTTTCCAATAACTCACAATCATAGCACTATTTGCCTCCCTACTGATATTTGGTACTGACAATGCAGTGCAAATTAACAGAAGAAAGCCTTTTTGCAGACAGAATCATACAGAGTTGGACTGAAGCTTCAGCAGGACATTAAAGAAGCTACTCCAGAAAATGAAAATATTTATAATATATATTTTTAAAGGAATACCTCTCCTAGCCATATCATCCTTTACAAGTGGAGTCTGCAGAACAATTTATGCCTTTTGCTTTCTGAATTTCTTCTTCAGAGTGAATCTGAATGACAGAAAACACAAACTGCATGTGACCCCTTTTGTACTGGAAAGGAATGAAGAAAACAGCAGCAGCAACCAGGCCCCTTTCCTCTACCCACTGAAACAAGTCCCAGCATGGCCTTAATGTTGCAATTTTCTAATTAATACTTGAAAAAAAAAAGTGATATATTCACACCCAATCCATAATACGAAAATGAAGAAGGTTTTCAGGCTGTGAAGGTAAAATATCAAGCTTCCTGCAGCTGAGCTGAATGGATTTGAGAATCCCTTAGAGTCAGCATCAACCATCACTGACGCACAAGCACAGCACAGTTTGAAGAGATTTGTGCTTAATTTGTGATTAAAGACTTGCAATTCATAAAATAGAAAGAAGCAGAGAAAGAAATAAAGCTTGTCTGTAGACAAATAGATTCCAGCCTACCTGTGTTTTGTACTTCTGTCCATAACTCTGGTAGCTGGTGCTTTTCTGTGCAGATAAAACTATCATCGAATTGATTGTCTCAGTTGCTAAGGAAACCAAAGGGATGATGCTAATGGATACTATTTATGACACTGGGAACATTCAGAAACATTTGCCATGAAAAGATGGAGTCACAAGTTAGTTAAAATCTACATTGAGTCTTAGCACAGAAAAGAGAACTAGATAGAATTTTTTCCTTTTTGTCTTACCTCTGACATTTTATTTTTTATCAGATACTTATAGCTTTATGCTTGGTTTGGCTGTCAGCACCACTTCATAGTCATTTCTATAGCTTTATTTCAAAACACAGGAGTTAGCTTAAACACATTATTCTAATTCTAAGCAGCTGAGTCCAGGATTTTTTTAAAGCATCACACATGATGCAAAATAGAATTTGACTTTGGGAATGCTCTCCAGAGGACAGAATTTTTGAATCAAAACCATTGCATTTTATAAGCTTCTACCTTTGCTTTTACGAACTGTAAGTTATGGAAGATTTTCATAGCAGACTTAGCAGACCTCATAAACCAAACTGTTATTATAAAAATTATCATATCTTCAGGAACCTATGTTTATATTTTTAAAAAATAATCCCCATTAAAAAGAGACAGACTTTCTAAAAGCATTAAAAAAAGCACCAGGGAACTGTAAGTTATTTTTTCGCTTTCCACAAGCTATATGTTCACAGCATGAGTCATCTATCAAAAGCAACCACACAAGTCTGAACTTATACCAGTGAAGGATCAAGCTCCAGGCACTTATTTATTTACAGAAGGCTCGAGGAGTTATTTCTGCACTGGAGTCTCAGATGACCCATTGTCAGACACCTTGTTGCCATGGAAATCTCACAACACCATTTTCTGCCTTGCTCCCATCCCAGATCCTCCTTTGCATCCCTGGTGATCCCTGCTTGTCACAGCTTCCCTGGGCCCCTCATTTTGGGCAGGCAGCAGCTGCTAGCAGGACTGGAGAACATTTAACTCTGTCTGGCACTTCCAAGCCATAGGAAGGTCAAGAAAAGTTATTTTTTAAGATTATGATACTTGACTGAACATCTTCTGCTACTTTACATTCTCATGCACTCAGACCTCCAAAGTTGTGTCTCATTGCTTAACAACAAAGAAGTAAACAGAGAAACTAGTGTCCTCCCATGCTAGTGAGAGAGTAGGAATTAACAATAATTAACCAATTAACAATAATTTGTTCCTGGAGAAAGGAAAGAGAAATAATATCCGATGACTACTCATTCTCATGGGAGAGCATATCACTGAGACAATTCAGTGACAGCTCATAAGGTGCATCCAGAACAAAGCAACATAAAATCTCCAAATGACTCCTCCTAAAACACCAACCTCACCAAAATGTTGAGAGGCACAGGGAAGCATACACTCCACCTGAGCTCACAGTCACAGAATCTCTTGAGTTGGAAGGGACCCATATAGATCAGAGTCAAACTCCCTGGTCTTTGCAGGACTACGTAAAACTAAACCATGTTGCTTTAGATGCTTTTTGCAAAATCTCTGCAGCTGAAAATCTCTGCATAATGGGCAACAATTATTCCTCTTTTTTTTTCTCTGTAGCACCTATGCTTCTACTTGAGACTCTCCACTTCAGGATCATACATCTATTTACACATGAAAAATATTGCTCTTTCCTAGTAGAGCAGATAGGAACAAGTGCCTAAAATAAGTTAGATAACATAAGAATCTGAAATTTTATTGGAAGAAATATGAGACAAGAGTACATTATACCATCACAACAAATACAGGGCATTAAAGTCATATAGAGTACTTCCCTTGACATGACCTGGTTGCAGACATCGACCCTAGGTGATATCTGAAAACATTTAAAAAAAATAATACTACTGATTATTCTTCATACAAGTAGACAATTCAATTTTCAGAAAGATATCTCAGTTTTGCCCAGCCTGTAAGCATTAGAACTGCAACCTACCAAGACATACTTATTTGAAGCAATTCCAGTATGAGACCATGAGCATCACTGTGTAAGTGAAAGGGGGGAAAAAAGTTGTGACATTTCCAAGTCAGCTCTAGGCAAAACCATTTGAAGAAAACATCTTCTCACAACTGCCCAGTGTTGCTGTTCACCTTTTAGTCTCCTCTGTGGCCTCAGGAGACAAAGCTAAAACTGGTGTTCCTGACACTTTTACAGCTTGTGAAATTTAAATAGCTCTCTCTCTGTTCAAGATTAAAGGGTTTTTCAGTAGTAGTAGTAGTCCCAGCACTGAAAATTAGCCCATTCCAATTAAGGCTTCAACTAGAAGTAATGTCTCCCTTCAGGGAATACATGACATTTTAAATTAAGAAACATTCCAGCTAACAAGCCTATAAATCTTCCCAATTAACTGTATTCTCTACTATTTTATGATTCTTCTGTTCAATTTGACAATCCTAATCTCCCAGAGAGTGCAGAAAAGGATGAGACCTCTGTGGTAGCTGCTTTGCACTTGATGTACAGGAAGGGGACGCAGACACTCTCTCTCACTGTACTTTTATTTGACCGATCTGAGTCAAATGGCACATCAAAGCCCAGTACTCTTCACTGCCATCAGGTGAAAAGGTTTCCAGTCTGCCAAAAGCCTCTGTGATTTCCCTCTCCACAAGAAAGCTCTGAGGCAGCACCACTAGAAACACAGCACCAAAGGATTCTCTCACAGGAGCACTCTGCACACTTCTCCACGGATTATTCTTTAACTAATCAAAGCTTTCAGGGAACACAGCCAGGGTTTGTCCTAGGAAGCAGTGTCACACAGTGGTGACTGAGGGTGCCAGGTGAGGTTGGGGGGAGGAAAAAGCAAGTACACCTGTCAGGGGCATTAAGTGTAACTTTCCTCTCTGTTATATAGATGGCTTTATTTCCTTTTAATATGTTAAGAGGGTAGCTGGAAAGAACTGCTAAATAGGAGATATAAAAGAGACATCTGTAAAAGTCACAAACAGGGAGAAACATAAGCCAAGCACATGGGGAAAAAAAAGAACAGTAGCTGAAGAGATCACTGTGTTTTTGAAAGACAAATGTCAAAAGCTATCATCCTAAATTTGATGAGGCAAGCTGGGGTATTGCCAGACACACTGTAAAAACAGAGCCTGCTGAAAGACCATGTTGGCTAACCAAGAGTGATCATGGAAACATGGAATGGTTGAGGTTGGAAGGGACCTCTGGAGAGCCTCTAGTCCAACCCCCCTGCTAAAGCAGTTTCACATCCAGCGAGTTTTTAGTATCTCCAGAGGAGACTACCACCTCACAGGGCAGCCTGTTCCAGATTCTGTCACTCTCACAGGAAAGTGGGTTTCAGTTTATGCCCATTGCCCCTTGTCCTGTCACTGGGCACCACTGAAAAGAGCCTGATTCCCTCTTCTTGAAACCCACCCTTAGGATATTTATAAGCATCGATAAGATTGCCTTTTGCATTGTGGCAGGGCATCCCCAATGTGAGAATAAAGAGCCTTGACTCCATGACTGCAGAAGGCTGAACAAATGCTTTAATAATCTATACTATATCATACTACATAGTACACTAATTCTTGTATGTATATGTATTTTCTTCTATACTAAAGAAAACCCCATGACCCTTACAGTCAGTCACGACACAGCTTTGATCTAATTGGTCAATCAATCCAAAACACCATCACCAGTGTCCAGCTAAGAAATCCCTTTTGGTAATCAATCTCCATAACACATTCCACATGTGCCAAACAACACATGCAGCAAGTGAAGATAAGTATTGTTTTTCTTCTTTGTCTGAGCTTTTTCACAGACTTTCCCCAGGAAAATGCTGGGGAAAGTCTTTGTCTCTCTCTGTTCAAAGAATATGTGAATACCACGCTTTTGGTCATGTCTTCTCCAGACAAACTGGCCCAGTTCCTTCAGCTTTTCCTCATAAGAGAGATGCTCCAGTCCCCCATCCTACAGCCCTTTGCTGGACCTGCTCCAGTAGTTTCTTCTCTTCCCTGAACTGGGAAGCCCAGAACTGGACACAGAACTCAGATGTGGCCTCTCTAGGGCTAGATAGAGGGTCAGGATCACCTCCCTCATCCTGCTGGCAATGCTCTTCCTAATGTACCCCAGGATGCCATTGGATTTCTTGGCCACCAGGGCACTGCTGGCTCATGGACAGCTTGTTGTTCACTGAGACCCCCAGATCTGCCTCCACAGAACTGTTTTCCAGCAGGTCAGACCCCAACCTGTCATGGCACCTGGGGTTTTTCCTCCTTCAGATGCAAGACTCTGCACTTGCCTTTGTTGAACTCCATTTGGTTTCTCTCCACCAACTCTCCAGCCTGTCCAGGTCCCACTGAATGAGAGTGCAGCATTCTGGTGTGTCAGACACTACTCCCACTTTTACATCCTCTGCTCACAACGTTCTGAGCTCTGCCATTCAGCCAGTTCTCACTCCACCTCACTGTCCACTAACCCACCCCACACTTCCTGAGCTTACCTATGAGGATGTTACAGGAGACAGTGTGGAAAGCCCTGGTGGAGTCAGGGTGGACAACACGCACGGCTCTTCCCCATCTACCCAGCCAGTCATTTCATCCTAGAAGGCTTTCAGAGAAATCAAGCATGACTTTTCCTGGTGAATCCATGCTGACTGACCTTGACAATCTTTTCTACATGTCTAGAGATGACATCCATAATTAGTTGCTGCATCAACTTTCCTGACCATGATGAAGGTGAGGCTGACTGACCTGTAGTTTCCTGAGTCTTCCTCTTGCTTTTTGAAGACTGGAGTGACACTGGCTTTTCTCCAGTCTTCAGACACCTCTTCAGTTCTCCATGACCTTTCAAAGATGATAAAGAATGGTTTAGCAATAACATCTGCTCAGCACTCATGGGTGTATCCCTTTGGGGCCTGTGGATTTGTGGGTGTGTCCCATTTGGGCCCATAGATTCGTGGTGGTCAGGTCTGCCTAAATGACCTCTAATCTGATTCTTCTCAAACAAGGGAAGGTCTTCTTTTCTCCAGACTTTCTCCCTTCCCTCCAGGGTCTGGGATTCACAAGGGCCAGCC